AGCCTTGAAAAAGCTCAATATGGAGGTCAAATGGCCGAAATATTGGGAAATTTTGGAACAAGATGGAGATAGATTGAAACTGCAGAGTTTTGAAAAACTAAAAAATAAAGTGCGAGACTGGCTTCATTATTATCAGATAATGGAGGCATACAATTTGGACAAGAAAATTGGCTTCCAGGTGGAAAAATCAAAATTAGAAACAGAACTGTTAGAACCCAAAACTAAAAATTTGTCAAGAATGTATAACTTGCTGCTGAAATGGAATACTCAGGATGAAACGGTGAAATCTGCTATGATTAAATGGGCACAAGATGTTGGACATAATATTATGTTTGCTGACTGGGAACAGTTATGGACCACAGGTATGAAGTTTACGGCATGTAATGCCCTAAGAGAGAATATTATGAAAATGATATACAGGTGGTACATAACCCCAGTCAAGCTTGCAAAAATCTACCATTTGCCCGATAATAAATGTTGGAAATGTAAAGAAACTGAAGGTACATTCTTTCACCTTTGGTGGACGTGCCCAAGGATTAAGGTTTTCTGGGAGAGGATTTATAATGAATTAAAAAAGGTATTTAAATATACCTTCTTGAAGAAACCAGAGGCCTTTCTCCTGGGCATAGTTGACCAATCGATGTTAAAGAAGGACAGAACTTTCTTTATGTATGCTACAACAGCAGCAAGAATACTTATTGCAAAGCATTGGAAGACACAAGATCTACCCACACTGGAGGAATGGCAGATGAAAATGATGGACTATATGGAATTGGCGGAAATGACTGGCAGAATCCGAGACCAGGGAGAAGAGTCGGTGGAAGAAGATTGGAAGAAATTTAAAGACTACCTACAGAAATATTGTAAAATTAATGATTGTTAGAATGATGACGGATTGAAGTTAAACGGTTTCTAGCAGTAATGGTTAAAAGAATTGGAAAAATTGGTTTTTAATAGGTAAAAATTTAATGTTATAATACATCAAGATTAAAGATCAGGATTAAAAAGGAGGGAAAGGAATTGCTGAACTAACAAACTGAATTGGAATACAAAAGAGGGAGGTATGAGGAGGTCCAGGAATCAAGTAAACGTAAAAGAAGTGATGAAAAGATGGAATTGTTTTTAACTGTTTTTTTCTTTTGTATTTTGTATTTTTCTTTTTATTGTTAATTTTCTTATTAATGTGATCTTTTTCTTTTGAAATTTTAATAAATATCATTAAAAAAAAAAAGTCTCCCATTTTCAACCTCTTCTTCCTCCATTGCACTGGCTAAATGATTCATTGCTGGACTCCCATCGCTGAGGCCAAATGTACCTTTACAGAGCAAAATATCCTTTCGAATTCTACACCCAGCACATGGAACCTGACAAAGGGGCAATACGAGTGGACTCCCTGTGCCCTTACCACAGCAAAAAGACTGATACTGGTGAGTTGGAAAAATAAAAATGTGTCTCCCTTCTATGATTGGACTGAAGACTTCTACAAACTCACCACATATGAACAACCTGCAGATAAACGCAGACTTGCCATGGACAAATTCAATGATACAGTGGTACTTCGGGTTAACATACACTTCAGGTTACAGACTCTGCTTGTAGCCTTTTTAGCCTTGGGTGAGAAGAGCTTTGCACCCGGGACGGGAAAATGGGAGTCAACAGACACTCAAGGAATAGTTTCAGAGAAAAAGCTTTATTCTGCCATCCGGGGTGGCAGAAGGAGCAAGTGTGATAGACTCACAAAACAAGCACGAGTTCACAGCCATTTGCACAGAGTTTACATTCCCCTTCCAGTTCCCTCCCCTTTCTCCTCTTCCTCAAGAGTCCTGCCCCATGACGAATTTCCTGAGCATGAACAGAAAGCTCCTGTCTTGGGACTCTTTTGGACTCTTGGCGCCCTTCCCAGGAAAGGGGGATGAGAAGCCTTGCGTTCAGCATGTCCAAGATATGTTTCTTTTCTCTTGCTCTATTGGCACAGTTCCCAGAAAGAAAAGTTGCAAGTTGAATGTACCTTTTGGCAAGGTCAGCTAGCCTGAGAAGTGACCTTTGTTACAGCAGAGCAAAATGCTTCTGATGCTTAGCTAATGCCTTTTAGCTGCTGAGAAAATGATTTTGAAAAGCTTTGAGCCTGCTTTGGGGGGGGGGTGACTTCGGGTCTAGGTGGGGTCACCTGTCCTCACCTCCTTCATGCTAACCCAGAAATAATACCTCAGGTTAAGAACGTTGCTTCAGGATGAGAACGGAAATCGTGCTCTGGCGGCGTGGCAGCAGCAGGAGGCCCCATTAGCTAAAGTGGTGCTTCAGGTTAAGAACAGTTTCTGGTTAAGAACAGACCTCCAGGACGAATTCAGTTCTTAACCTGAGGTACCACTGTATATGGAATCCATTCTTTCAAATACTGTTCTTCTTTGGTGATCATTTGGAGCCGAGTAATACTGTCTTCCGTGAACCCGGTCTTAACAGTGAGTCCATGAGGGACTGTGGAGGCCAATTCTGGATCCACACGTCCTTCCACAGTGGGGACATTGGATTCCGGGCGGGAGTTGATCACTGTGAGGGTTTGCCAAGCGTGCCTTCCTCTTAGCACATGACTTCCTTTCGTCCTGAGTTCGAGCGTCTTCAAAGCACATGACACCTTTGGTAAAAGCTGTTCTCCAAATGGGGCACTCGCAGGCTAGTGTTTCCCAGTTGTCGGTGTTTATACTACATTTTTAAAGATTTGCGTTGAGAGTCTTTAAACCTCTTTTGTTGACCACTAGCATTACGCTTTCCATTTTCAAGTTTGGAATAGAGTAGTTTCTTTGGAAGACAAGTTTCTTTGGAAGAAGTAGTTTCTTTGGAAGACAAGAATCAGGCATCTGAACAACATGACCAGTCCAATGAAGTTGATGTTGAAGAATCATTGCTTCGACACGGGTGATCTTTGCTTCTTCCAGTACAGTCATACCTCATGTTACGTTTGCTTCATGTTACCTTTTTTCAGGTTGGGTCCCGCGGCGACCCGGAAGTACCGGAAAGAGTTACTTCCGTGTTTCGCCACTCGCGCATGCGTAGAAGCGCTAAATCGTGTCAACGTGATTCATGGTGTCAACAACATGACTGTGATGTGTTACAAGTCATTAACTCCAAGCCTCATGGCCATGTCTCAGAAAACACAAACCACCCCAGCTTTTCAGAGCTGGCTATCGTGGCTTTAATCTTTGTGCATTGCTACACCGTATAAAGCACTGACTTTTATATATCTATTTTCACTGCCAAATGTTGCAGGGGGCCATTTTCCGCAGCTTGGCGCTGCTTTAGAGTTAATCGGATGACGTCAGGTTTTCAGTTAGAGCGCCAAAGGCTCATTTTGTGGGGCGCTGTGAAACGTGCGGTTTTCACTGCTAAACATTGCACGGGCCATTTTGCCAGTGCTCGGCGCAGGAATCCCTTTCCCATATCTTATACATTTTAGACAGCACTTTTACATTATGCAACAGGTCTCTCTCCAGTTGTGATATTTGGCAAAATCTTGATCCTGAGAGTTAGGGTGCCGAGGGCTGATTTTGTGGGGTGCAGGAAAACATAGTGTTTTCACTGCCAAATGTTGCATGGGGCCTTGTTACAGCATATGGCTCTGCTTTGGAGTTAGTCGGACAACCCCCGATTTTTGGCGAAATCTTGAAACTACTGTTTAGTGTGTTAATGGCTCATTTTGGGGGGGGGAGCTGTGAAACGTATTTTTACAGGGGCTCTTCCTGGAGTTTGGCACCACTTTGGAGTTAATCGGATAATGTCGTATTTTTGGCGAAATCTTTACGCTGCAGGTAAGGGTGTTGAGGGCTCATATTGTGGGGCGACATGAAACGTAGTTTTTTCACTGCCAAATGTCGCATTTGGCGAAACATAGTGTTTTCTCGACAAACGTTGCAGAGGCTTTCCCCCACAGCTTTGTAATGATTTGGCTGACCTTGGATTTTTGGTGATATCTTAACCCAGCAGGTTAGGGCACTGAGGGCTCATTTTGTGGGGTGCTGGGAAATGTAGTGTTCTCTTTTCCCCAAAAAAATTTTTATTGGTTTTTTCACAAAAAATTAAACACACAGACAAATAGACAAACAAACATAAATCATAACCTTATTAAGACTAATCTAATTAACATTTGTTAAGTGACTTCCTCGTATCCCCCTGGTTGGATTTCAGTGCATATCATTTTAACGGTTTTCCAAATCAATATTCTTATAAAATTAATTTAATCACTTAACATCTTTCTTACTTCCCAGTTCAGTATTAAACATATTAATTCATCACATATTACATATTTAAATCCTAAGCCTATCCGCTATATGCAAGCTTTTTCCAATTAATTTAACTTAACATATTTAACTAAATAGTCACTAAATTTCGTCCATTCTTCCTGGTACTCCTCCTCCTTCTGGTCGCGGACTCTTCCGGTCAGGTCGGCTAGCTCCGAAAAATCCATCATCTTCATCTGCCATTCTTCCACTGTTGGTACTTCTTGCGTTTTCCAATTCTTAGCTAACAAAATTCTTGCTGGAGTTGTGGCATACAAAAATTGATATTTTATTCTTGGTTTCTTCCCTTGTCAGGTGAATCTGGAAATATATTTTTGCCATTCTTTGAAGCATCCAGCACGGCTTGTCTCCGGGATTGATTGATTAAAAAAGGCATTCTTGGCCATACATTCATCTTAATCACGGAAATTCTCCCCATGGGCCTGTGGGAGATTTATGGAGCCCCACATAACGGTGCCTGAATGGGGCTTAGAGAGGCCAGTGTTCTGGGGAGCGGCCTCTGCCCTCTCTCTTGCCGGGGCGCGGAGCGGCCTTCCGGGGGGAGAAGCGGGGCAGGGGGCGCTGGCCGCGTCTCCCCGACACCTCTCTCCGCCTCCCCCCCCGCCACAGCCCCCCCCCGCCGCTCCGCCCTTTTCCCCTGTGAGGTCATCCTGCCCCCCCCCCGGCGCCGGGCCCGCCTCCTCCTCCTCCTCCTCCTCCTCCCTTCCGGGCGCGCCATGGCGGCGGCGGCGGCGGCGGGGCTGTGGCGGGCGGAGGCTCCGCTGGGCCGGGGCTCGTCGGCCGCCGTGTACCGGGCGCGCTGCCTGGGAGACCCTCGCGCCCCGCCGGCCGCCCTCAAGGCGTTTCTGCCGCCCGCCCGCGGGGAGGAGGAGGCGGAGGCGGAGGGAGGCGGCGGCTACGGCTTCCGCAAGGAGCGCGCGGCGCTGGAGGAGCTGCGCGGCCACCGCAGCATCGGTGAGAGCGCGCGGGGGGGGCGGGTTCCGGGGCTTGTGCAGAGAGCAGGAGCGGAGGCGAAAAGGGGCTTCCCTGGGAGACGCTCCCCGTCTGGGCTGGGCGGGGGTGGACTAAATGACCCCTGGGACCCCCCCCCGCAGGGGCCTCGCGGCAGGAGGCGGGGGGGCTTTGCCCAAGGAGAGCCCCAGCCTGGGTCTCCCGCAGCCCGGCGCGCTCTCCGCCCCTTTCTGGGGCACATCCTCCCCCGGGAGCAACCTGGTCTGCGGCATCGCCCGCCATGTGCTGGGACCAAACTCCAGAGCCCCTGGCGACCCGGAGCCGCAGGGCGGGTGTTGAGTGATTCCGCAAATGGGGAAGCAGCCAGGGGGGCTTAATCCAGTGCCTGATGATGGTATTAGTGATTGATCCTTTGACAGGAAATACCTGCTTTGCCCTGCCCATCTCCAGGGCCAGAAAGCTCCGATTCAGTGCATCCCATTTTGCAAGGGAGCAGCCCCCGTGCTAAAGTTAAGCAGATCTGAATCTGACCCTTGTCCCAGGGGAGACCCCCCCCCACATCACCTTGAGATGCATTGTGGAAGAAATGCAGGATATAAATCGGTTCACTAAATAATATGGGTACATGTGCACAGCATGAGGAATCACTTGGCCAGCTGAGAGGGGAAAGGATGTCCCAAATACAACATGGTACTGAGGGTGATGTCTGTAAGCAGTCCCCAACCTGTTGCCCTTCATCATCCCTGACCGTTGGCCTGTGAGAGTTGCAGTCCAAGTCACTGGGAGGTCAAGAGGCTGGGGAAGGCTGGCGCAAGTCTTGTTGAGTGTGTTCATTTTGTCTGAAGCCTGAGTGGGAAACAGACATGCTCAGTGGCTTAGAGCATGGTGTGCTAAGACGCCAAGGCGGCAGGTTCGATCCCCCTCTGGGACAGCCTTGCAGGGGGTTGGACTAGATGAACCTCAGGCTCCCTTCCAGTGCTGCGAGTCTGTGATTCTAAGACTCTTTTGTGTAACATGCCTTGTTGCTTTGCTGAAGAGTGATACTTAAAACTGCCCAACAAATAATAAATGTGAGACTTACCACTGCATCTCAAGGCAATCTGATTTGGCTTCTCACAGCTGCTGCCAGAGGTCAGCTGCAGATTACCATCACCTTACAGTAACTGCTTCTTAACCTCTTGCAATGAGCATGCAACCCTATGGCTGTCTTTGTTGAGAGACATAGATGTTTACTACCAGGCCAGCCCCAGCCCCAGCCCCAGCCCCTCTTGCCCCCACACCGCCAGACATACTGATGGGAACTATGTGACGGATGGTTGGCTCTGCGCATAACAGCATAAATCTACACCAAATGGTCAAGTGTAGCCCCTGTACAGCACAGAGCATGGCTGGTGGTAACTTACAATGGGGCTTGGAGCAGAAGGAAACTGACTTGTTTCTGGGAACTGGTCCTGAGGAACAACCAGTGTTTCCATCTAAAATTCCAAAGGCAAGAAGAATCACAACTAGGCAATCCATGAAGCGCATTCAGGCATCCACTGGAAATGCTGCAGCTTGGCATATCATACTTTGGCCAACAGCCGCAATGAGTGAACCAAGTCTTGTTGCTGTGCTACAGGGGGAAAGATCCGGAAAATTGGGCCGCGGACAGGAATTCAGCCAGACGGATTTCCTTCTCAAATGATGCCATATTGGACCCATGCAGAGTATCCAGGGTGTTTGAATTCATTTCTGTACCCATATTGCCAACCATGTTGGCAGTGACTTCCATTGCAGTAGAACTCTGCATGGATCCAGACTAGAATTTTATTTGGTGCTACCTAAAGACTGTTTTGTTGTTGACCTTATTTGTGCTGCATCCATTTTTCTTCGATGGCCACAGAGTTGGGGTAAGGATTCTCTTGAAGGTTAGAAGGTTAATCCCCCAAAAGAAACAAGCGGCACTTGCCTAGCTCTGGATTAAATTATACCCAGGCCCAGATGCTCTAGGAAAAGTGCTGGAAACAACTGAATCTTGTATGTTCCAAATGCGGCTTTTTGTGGAAATCACTGCCTTAGCGCAGAACAGCTTCCAGGCACCAGTGGTCCCCCACCAAGTAACCCCTGCTGATCTTTTTGGGGTGTTTTTCTACCTGCAGTGACTTTGTACGGTATGTTCACCGACTACCCTTCTGCCCAAGGCCCGTTGTGCTGCCTCTTGTTGGAGTTGCTGGACATCAGCGTGTCAGAGCTGCTGGCGCACTCCAGCCTGCATGGCTGCTCCATGTGGATCACCCAGCACTGTGCGCGAGACGTCCTGGAAGGCCTTGCCTTCCTCCACCACAGAGGCTATGTGCATGCAGACCTGAAGCCGCGCAACATCCTGTGGAGTGCGGAGGAGGAGGGCTTCAAGCTCATTGACTTTGGACTCAGCTTCAAGGAGGGAATTCAGGTTGGTCAAGTGCCATTGGAACCTTTTAGGCAAAAAGGTAATCAGAGAGGTGAGATGACTGCAGAAAATGCTGAATGGCTTTGGGGCCCTTGTGCTGTGCACACTCACCCCACTTTTGCCTTTTCTAAAGGAGGTGACACACTTTCAGAAACCGGCAAAAAATGCCGGTGTGTGCACTGTAGCAAAAGAAAACACTTTCAGCTGTAAAGATATCTTTGTCTATGACCAGGAAATGGTTCCAAATTCTCTTTGGTTAAAAACTTCACCCTGTGTATGTGTGTGTGCCCGTAGGGGGGTGGAGGGGGGTACATGCAGTGCTTTTATTAAAACGTATCCTGAAATCTTTACGGAAGGGATTGCTACTATTCTGCTCTGTGAGCATTGTTGCAGAATTGCTTGAGTACTTTGTACACATTTAAAAGAATGCTCTAGGCTGCTTATTGCTCAAAGGCACTGCTTCCCAAACTTTGGTCGCCAGTTGCTTATGGACTACAATTCCCATCATCCCTGACTACTGGTCTTGCTAGCTAGCGATGATGGGAGTTCTAGTCCAAAAACAGCTGGAGATCCAAGTTTGGGAAACACTGCTCTAAGCGGTGTGGCCCTGAGGTTTCCTGTTTCACACAGAATCATAGAATGGTAGAGTTGGAAGGGACCCCGAGGCTCATCCAGTCCATCCCTTGCAGTTCCTACGCATGTGTAGGAAGGGTTTGCCGCACATGAGGTGAATTCCTTTCTCCCAAGCAGTCTCAGATGCACATGGGACTCGTCCACATTTCTGATTGTCCCATGCTTTCTAGGCAGGGGTCTGAGCCTGTCGCTTTCCCCCACAAAAATCTGCTCTTAGCGCTACATCAGAACAAACAGCAGTCCACGGAAAACCTAATGGCTGTTTGTTCTGGTTCAGCACTAAATGGTGAGTTTTCCCGGGGGAAAGCATGAGGGCTGATGGAAGACTGAGCCCTCGGGGCCGCAAGGGGGGGGGGACCAAGTTCTTGCTGCTTTCAGAAATCTGCAGGAGGAGTGCTCCAGAGGTTTGGACGAGCCCCCAGTTAGCGTGGGTAGAACAAATTGCTCCGCCCCCTGAGTGTGTGAAAAGTGCCTACCAATTCCTCTGGTAGTGGAAGAGCAAAACTTCTGTAGTGCTCGGATATTTCCGCCTGGAAATGGCACAAATCAACATTTAAACATACACTGAGGTGGTTTTCCAGTGAGTTTCTTTTCAGAACCCCCTGAAACATTTTAAACTTAAATCACAGAACAGATTTCCTATGCAGCTGCTGAATTTTTGCTTGTGAATTTTTATATTTTGCTTCTATAAAAAAGTTTCTTGACAAATTCTTGGACTAGCAAAAGTTAAGCATTTCCTTGTGGTATCCTTTGGCTCTGCATGAAGCAGCCTAGGTGGGCGATTTCTCTGGACCACCATAAAACAAACTAGTATAAGGTTTCAAATCCACTGCAGTGCTTTGTTATGATTTTAGACTTCTAAGCAAACGCTTCGTTCTCCCCAGGATGTGAAGTACATTCAGACGGACGGATACCGCGCTCCGGAGGCTGAGGTGCAGAACCGCCTCTCCAAGGCGGGAGTGCAAGGCGGGACGGAATGCACTTCTGCTATCGATCTCTGGAGTCTTGGCATAGTATTACTGGAGATGTTTTCAGGAATGAAACTAAAACATACTGTCCAGTCTCAGGAATGGAGGGTGAGGAGCTCTGCAGTAATTTTGCAGAGATATCAGTTAGCTTTTGAGATTTGCAGGCTTGGTGGATCAGAGGAATGCTTAATAACTTCAGTTGGGCTTTTGACAAAGTCCCCCAGGATATTCTTGCAAGGAAGCTGGTAAAACGTGAGTTGAACGAGGTAACTGTCCGGTGGATTTGTAGCTGGTTGAGCAAACCCAAAGAGTACACATTAATGGTTCCTTGTCATCCTGGAAATAAGGGATAAGCAGAGTGCTGCAGGATTCTGTCCTGGGCCCATTGTTGTTCAACACCTTTATAAATGAGTTGGGTGAAAGAATGGAAGGCATGTGTGTCAAATTTGAAGAGTACACCAAACTGAAAGGGGTGCAGAAGACAGAATCAGAATTCAAAATGACCATAACAGATTGGAAAACTGGACCTAAACTAACAGAATGATTTTCAAAAGGGACAAATGTAAGGTTCTGCACTTAGGCAGGAAGAACCAGATGCACAAATATAGGATGGGGGACACCTGGCTTACTAGCAGTACGTGCGAAAGGAATCTAGGGGTCCTCTATAAAAATAATTTATTATTTATACCTCACCCATCTGGCTGGTTTCCCCAGCCCCTCTTAGTAAACCATAAGCTTAACATGAGTCAGCAGTGTGATGCAGCAGCAAAGAAAGCTAACACTATTCTAGGCTGCATCAACAGAAGTTGAGTGCCCAGATCAAGGGAAATAATAGTACCACTCAATTCTGCCTTGATCAGATCACACCTCATCTTTGATGGCAATTTCTCTTTGGGAGTTTTGAAACTCCTCTTTGAAGAAGACAGCACCTTACATGGCTTGAATTTGCCTTGCTGGATAGATAAAATACTGAATGTTGCAGCTTTCCTGATGGGAGCCAGTACCTTAACAGTCTGTGAAATAAGCAATCATTTGCTTGGGGAGGAGCGGAGGTGACACGAGCTGACATTAGCGCATGTCATAGGAATGTAATAAGCTGCCAGCTGAGGCCACAGATCCTTCAGATTCAATATTGTCGTCACGGACAGGCAGCTGCTTTCTGGGATTTAAGGCAGCCTTCTTCCCCGGCCCTCCCTGGCGATGCCAGAGCTGCACCTCCGAGCCATGAGCTTTTCCTGTAATGTAGGGTTTATATAATAGCCTTGCTATAAAGTTACTGTTTGCACAACCCTTCGTCCCTTCCATGGGTACCTTTGCAGTCTCCCAACACGGTGACTGCAGCTTCTCACAGTCCTCAGCCAGGTGTGTTGTACCTTCTTTCAGGGGAGAGATAGGATATCCCTACCCACTAGCACAATCATAGGTCTGGAGCATCCTCAGGCCTCCATCCCCACAACGCAGATCCCAGTGCATCTCTCCCAGAGAGCCGGAGTGAAGAATGGGAGGCGCCTCAAAGGCACCTGGGTGGTGTTAGCAAGTGATGTGAGCTTTAGTGGAAGAAAGGAAGAAAAGTCCAACCCAGCAGGGTACCTGATCTGCCTCTAAAGTCAGCAGATGAAAGATACTTCTACACTCCCAACTTGGAACAGCCCAGGGCATGTGGTGTTGGTGGCCGAGTACAAGCACAAGGGGGGCTCTAATCCCTGGTGCAGATCGCTGAAGAGAAGGGAGGAGCATCAACTAATTTTAGGAATGGGTAGAATTGCCCTGGTTTGCTTTGTGTCAATACTGAACCCACCATGGAATAGGTGTTATGGAGCAATTTACTGCAGCAGGCTTAATGGGGGGGGGGGGGGCTTACAGCAGTAGCTGGCTCTGCTACAACCTCAGGGAACTCTGTTCAGATTGTTCAGAGTAAATACAAGATGGGTTGGGGGTTTTTTCCTTCTAAGAGATTTTCTTCCCACCTCTTCTTCTTAGGCAAATAGTTCTGCCATTATTGAGCACATTTTCGCCAGCAAAAGTGTAGTGAATTCTGCCATCCCTGCCTATCACCTCAGAGACCTCCTCAAAAGGTATGTTGCCTGTTAGCTTCTGCAATGTTTTCTTCCTCGGGGGTTTTGCCCTGCCGCTCTAGCTCAGCCTCTGGATTTAGTCAAACAAAGGGGGAGTTCCATTGTTATCTACGAAGGCTTTTGAACAAGAGGGACTTTCTGCCTCTGGTGACTCTCCCTTAACCTCAGCAATGCTTCACATAATAAATAGGATTGTTAGGTCCCAGCCCCAGCTTTTCATCTCGGGCTTCCTTAATATGGCAGATACAAAACCAGCATTTGCCTCCCATAAGGGCCCTTAAGTGTTTCATCACTTAATGGATGCTAAAATCACTACCGCTTATGTGAATGGAAAATGGTTGTTAAAAGGCAGCGGCTGGGCAAAGTCTTGCTCGGGATGTGGCAGAGATAGTAGATAGTAACCAGGCTAAGGTATGCCAAAATACCATATAATTTATTTTGTATCATATCAGCCCTCATTTTTTGTCATTCACCTACAGTTTACTTAATACTTTTCAGTTGCTGTGGAGAGCAGCAAATAATTGCTAGCTCAGGCAATGTGTATTTGCAACTTTCCCCTTTCAGTCAAGTCTTTTAAATAATAATAATAATTTTTATTTATACCCCGCCCTCCCCAGCCAAGGCGGCTTACAAGCAATAATAAAAACAAATTGAATGATTACAACTTAAAAACAAAATTAAAATACAACATTAAAATATGGAAACATTAAAATATTAAAATGTAGCCTCATCGCAGGAGGAGAAGGAAAGGAAAAAAGAAAGAAGGGAGGGAATCAAATTGGCTCCAAGCCAAAGGCCAGGCGGAACAACTCTGTCTTACAGGCCCTGCGGAAAGAAATCAGATCCTGCAGGGCCCTGGTCTCATGAGGCAGAGCGTTCCACCAGGCTGGAGCCAGAGTTGAAAAGGCCCTGGCTCCGGTTGAAGCCAATCTAACTTCCTTAGGGCCCGGGACCACTAGGGTGTTGCTATTTATGGACCTTGAGGCTCTCTGTGGGGCATACCAGGAGAGGCGGTCCCGTAGGTACGAGGGTCCTAGGCCGTGAAGGGCTTTAAAGGTCAAAAGCAGCACCTTAAATCTGACCCTGTACTCTACCAGGAGCCAGTGCAGTTTGAAAAGCACTGGGTGAATATGCTCCCATGGCAGAGACCCTGTGAGGAGCCTCGCTGCAGCATTCTGCACCCTCTGGAGTTTCTGGGTCAGCTTCAAGGGCAGCCCCGTGTAGAGCGAATTACAGTAGTCAAGCCTGGAGATGACCGTCGCATGGATCACTGTGGCCAGGTCGGGGCGGGAAAGGTAAGGGACCAACTGCTTGATGCGGCGAAGGTGGAAAAATGTCGCCTTGGCTGTTGCTGTAACTTGCGCCTCCATGGAAAGGGAGGCGTCAAGGATTACACCCAAACTCTTAACGGAAGGCAATGGCACTAATTGGGCCCCCGCAAGAGAAGGGAGTTGGTCCCTCATCCCCATGCCATCCCGACCCAGCCATAGGACCTCTGTCTTCGAAGGATTTAGTTTCAATCGGCTCCCACGAAACCATCCAGCCACAGCTTCCAAGCATCTGGTCAGTGTGTTCGGGGCCAAGTCGGTGTGGCCATCCATCAGCAGATAGAGCTGAGTGTCATCAGCATATTGGTGACAGCCCAGCCCAAAGCTCCGGATAATCTGGGCAAGGGGGCGCATAAAGATGTTAAAAAGCATTGGGGAGAGAATTGCGCCCTGCGGCACTCCACATACCAAGGAATGGCGCGACGACATTTCCCTCCCTAGTGCCACCCTCTGTCCCCGACCAGAGATAAAAGAGCACAGCCAGTTACGGGCTATGCCCTGTATCCCCATGTCTGCGAGGCGGTGGTCCAGAAGATCATGATCGACCATGTCAAAGGCTGCTGACAAATCTAAAAGGATCAGCAGTCCTGACCCGCCTCAATCCAGTTGTCTACGGAGATCATCTGTGAGGGCAACCAGAGCTGTCTCGGTCCCAAAACCAGGACGGAAACCAGACTGAAATGGATCTAAAGCCGATGTTTCCTCCAGAAACCTACCAAGCTCTTCAGCAACTGCTCTCTCGATTACCTTACCCAGATATGGAAGATTTGAAACTGGGCGGTAATTGGATAGGTCTAAGGGATCCAATGAAGTTTTCTTTAAGAGCGGACACACTACTGCTTCCTTCAGTTCCCCTGGGAATGTCCCCGTGTCAAGGGACAAATTGATAATTTCAACCAGGGGGGTCCGCGCAACATCTGGACACTCCCTAATCAGCCAAGACGGGCACGGATCAAGGAGGCAGGTGGTGGGCCTACCAACTTGGAGGAATCTATCCACATCAGTAGGGAGTATCCGATCGAAATGGTCCAACACTGGACCTGAAGTCAGTTGAGGGGCCTCCTGTTCAGTCACTGTATCTAAATTGGCAGGGAGGTCACGGCGGAGCAACAGGACTTTCTCCGCAAAAAAGCTCGCGAATGCCTCACAGCTGTGGGTCGAATTTGTGCTTAAATTTGGTTGTCCTCCTAAGGACGTTATTGACCTAATTATTCTAAAAAGTTGTGCCGGGCGAGAGCTAGTGGATGCAATGGAAGCTGCAAAGTAAGATTTCTTAGCAGCTTTCATAGCCATCTCATAGGCTTTCATAAGCGTCCTATAAGATGTTCTTGAGGCTCCGTCATGAGTCCGTCGCCATACTCGCTCTAGCCGTCTGAGATCCCGCTTCATTTTCCGGAGCTCCTCAGTAAACCAAGGGGCCCGGTTTCGATGGGGTCGCAGAGGGCGCTTAGGCGCGATCTCATCAATGGCTGCCAAGAGCCGGTTATTCCAGTCCTCAACAAGGTCATCTAATGAGTCGCCAGGAGGAGCAGGGTCCCGCAAGGCCTAACGGAATCTATCCGGATCCATCAGCCTTCGCGGGCGAGCCCAAATAGGTTCGGCACCCGAGCCGGGGAGGAGCGGGAAGTCAATCTTGGCTTTCAGAGCATAGTGATCAGACCATGGCACTTCCACAGGGGGGAGCATGATCACATCTATGCCAGCCCCAAAGATCAGATCCAGCGTGTGGCCTGCTTGATGAGTGGGGCCCAAAACAAACTGGGAGAGCCCTAGTGTTGCCATGGAAGTAACTAGGTCCAGAGCCTGTGAGGAGGGAGCGGCATCGGCATGGGCGTTGAAGTCTCCCAAAACCAGTAGGTTTGGGAACTCCAAGGCCCAGCCCACTGCCACCTCCAGCAGGTCTGACAGGGTGGCTGCCGGTGTGCTGGGTGGTCGGTACACCAGCCAGACAGCCAAGCTCTCCTTGGTGCCCCACACGAGACCAACACATTCAATGCCGGAGATCGCCGGTGATGGCAGAGCTCTGAAAGAGCAATCCTCCCGGATTAACAACGCTACTCCTCCCCCCCAACCCACAGTCCGCGATTGATGAAGGACAGAGAAACCTGGGGGTGTTAGCTCATGTAGGGAGACTACTTCGCCTTCCCGTACCCAGGTCTCTGTCACGCAAGCCAGGTCAATCCCCTTCGAGACAAAAAAGTCACGCATGGTGGCGGTTTTGTTGCCTATGGACCTGGCATTGCACAGCACCAATGACGGAGGTGGGTAATCCTTGCTCTCCCTACCCTTATCCCTTGGGATGGGGCGTAGATTGGAAGGGGTTCAAGGATCAATGCATCTCGAAACCCTTCACCGATAGAGATATCCAGCCCCACCGCCATTCCTCCCTCTAAATAAGTAAGATGAAGGTTTAAAAAAAGTAACCAGGGGTCAAAGCCCCACACAAATTAGGAAATTGTGCAATAGATTCATGAAACAGTCATCCTTGTGTAAATAGGACTAGCTAGAAGGTTTCACCAGTAGATTGATTAATGAGACCAAATTGTGTTTGGTGGAGCTGTGAATTTGCAGTCTGCTTGTTTGGTTTTTTGAGACTATTTTGGTAATAATATTTATGGGAAATAAAATACTAAAGATGAGCTTTCTTTCCAGCAACATGTAGTAAGTTACCTAATTTGCAGGTGGGGGAGATCATGATTATTCATTCTCCTTGGCATAACTCAGTATGGAGAATCTACGTCCTGGGGAGAACCAGTGGCATGGCCATTCATCTTCAAAAGAGAAAGGCAGGAGAAATGTATATGTTGCTTTGTGTTCCAGTAGCACACTTCCACAGAATGGCACTCAAGGGAACCTGCAGTGCAGCCCAAATAAAATTACTAGCAAATGACCACTGAAATACATAATAAGGTTTATAAAACCAGCATCACCATAAAGCCATAGAATTGGAACAGTGAAAGCTGTGGTGTCATGCTTTCTCCAGAACCTGGTGGGCTTTTGCTATTCTTCTAGAAATCAGCTTGGATGCAGCTTGAATGGTCTCCCTGTGGGGAGCATCTCTGCAACTTGCTTGTACAACAAAGACTCCTTTTTGCTTTCCAGCATGCTTCGCGAGGACCCACAGGAAAGAGCCACTGCAGCAAAGGCCTTGTGCAGCCCCTTCTTCAGCATTCCTTTTGGTAGGGTGTATAACGTATTTCATTTCTCTGGCCACAAATAACGCTTGCCTAACTGGCCCTGACCCTGTTCATTTCATTTTGAGAATTTCTATCCATTCTCTGCATCAAGTTTAAGCTGGTTAACATCTTAAAAACAACATTTGTCCTTAAGAGGGACCCTCTGGGCATCTTGTGGACTCCTAAGGGAATGTTTTCAATTAACGTTTCCTCCTTTCACACTTCTCCCGTGTGCCATTTGAAATGTCTGATTCGGGCTTAGCCCCATTTCACGGATGTCTGAACCCAAGGGATAAACTTTAGGGAATTTGCAAGGGATAAACTTTTTAACTCTCTTTGAGAATAGGATTGAGTAGGTTGTAGCAACTTGCATCGAACCATTTCTAATTTCTCTTTGATATAATGATTACCTTACATTGCTTTAACAGCCCCCCATATTGAAGATCTGGTGATGCTTCCAACTCCAGTGCTAAGACTGCTAAATATTTTGAGTGATACCTCTCTCCAAAATGAAGAAGAATTTGCAGGTTGGTACATCTTGATGTAGCTCCTTATCCTTCAGCACGCTACAGAACCTACTAGGAAGGGGGATGGCTTGAGATGCACTGGAAGTGGGAAAGGCAACTATTTCCGAGAGCTGCCCTGGGCAGAGAGAGGAAGAAAATTATCCTGCTTCAAGCTAGGCGTGATCCAAATTTAGGCAGAGCCAGTAACCTCCAAGCAAAAATGTTTAAAGAATTATTGCATAACAAAAGTAAATATGTGTGCAATATTTTGAATAAAATGGTCTCTAGAAGAGTAGCGCTTGCAGGTTGATGTTACAGATTCCCACCCCACCTTGGTATTATTATTATTATTATTATTATTTATTTACTTATACCCTGCCTGTCTGACATGGTTGCCCCAGCCACTCTGGGTGGCTTCCAACATAATAACAACACAGAAAAACATTCCACGTTAAAAACTTCCCGATACTTCTCTGTTTGACATCTGATGGGAAGGCTTTCCACAGGACGGGTACCACTACCGAGAAGGCCCTCTGCCTGGTTTCCTGCAGTTGCACGGAAGAGAGGGAGGCTTGTGTGTACTGACATCCTCCCCACCTGCAGATTCTCCCCTCTGTAGCTCTGGAGCCTGAGGAAGCGGGTGAAGGATGAATTACCTTGAAGGGGGCTTGTAAGGGAGAATCAGTGGATGCGGGAAGGCTAAGCACCTTCCTACTCCCACCCAAACCACTGTTGTGCTTGGAAAAATTGTGGCTCCTTTTGTGTCAGTAGCAGAAAATACTGAGTACAAGAGACAAACTGAAAGAGAGATAACTACCGTTGGTTCCCATAACCCTTCTGTGTTGTCTACATTTATGGGGGGGCGTGATCCGCTCTACATATTACTGACGTCTGTTACAGAAAGAGCGGAGAACCTCTGGCATGTGGGACAGTCTTGGAGTTCCAGTTTGACCTGCAAGGTCCTTTCCCCCACCCACCCACCCACCCACCAGCTGATGTCACTATGTGATCCTGTTCCCAGCAGTGCACACGATCATGCAGCCAAGGCAGCAGGATTTAATCCCTGTGTGTCAGCAGAGCAGGGACTGAATCCCTGTGCAAAAGCAGGCTGTGCAATAGCTTGCACCTGCAGGCTGCTTCAGAGAGGCTTTTGCAAAGGCTTTCAAACAGTTCCTGTGATCTTGATATTGGAAGCTTAAAGGGGAAGCATGGGGAGAGTTGGAAGCACTTTCTTCTTGTGCTCCCTTTTTAAAACCTTCAAGGTTGGGGACTTAAAAGCCAGTGCAGGGAGACTTGCAAAATGCAAGGGATTTTGACAGGCAGGTGGCCCCATGTGCATGTCAGTCATGTGGCATCATAATTTGGCCCTGATAAGGACCTGGTGCACAGAGTCCAGAAGGTTCCCCACCCCTCCCCTAAACCATTTTGAAGACTGAACCAACTGCTGTTTGTGCGGTTTTTTAAAAAGTCTCCACAGCTAGTCATTTTCAGTAGAATAAGGGAAGGGGACATGTGGTGCTTGTGGCAGCGTCTAGGCCCCACACAGTGACTCTGTTTGTTTTGTTTAACTTCTAAGACCACCATTATGTTCCGGTCACTTGAGCAACTGAGCAAAAATGCATAGGAGGGAGCTGCTCATCTGAGTTTCATCCTGAAGTGGCAAGCCTGAGAATGCTCGAAAGCAAGCCTAGGCACAATTCTTGGCCTTGAAAAAGTGTATTCCTTGGTGCCTCAGGGTTCCCTAGCTCTAAAATGGGACCAGGATGCTGATCAGGAATGCTGACACAGCATGCTGCCCCTTAAAAATTGCCACTGAACCCAGAACTAACTGTGATTGACCCAGTGACTAACTTGGAGCTTCTCTCTGTGGCGCCATGGACCTCGCTTGGGAAATAAGAGTATTTTTCAATAATAAGTTTTATTAGTTTTCAGTTTCAACAATCCAATAATAGCCTCATTATAACAATGCCAAATTATAATACAATTAATAATACCAGTCATTGAGATGCCAAATTATACAATTTAGGTGCCCCCCTGCCTCCTGCATACTAGAATTGATGGTTTGATTATTTATTTTGTTTCTTCATTCCAAAATTTTATAAATTTCAGTTACACTCCAGTCAAAATACCAATACCTTATATCGCAACTGCAGTTTTAACAACTTCCATTCGTATTGACACATTAAATGATTTCTACACCTACAGGTGAAGCATCCTTCCTGTGTGTGGCAATTATTCTGTCCATGGTGCTTCTTCTTGTCCTTGTAATATATTAGGTTTATCTTTTGTCAATTGTTGCTGTTCTCCAGCATGCCTTGGATGGCGCTAATGTCCCATTATTGTTTCAGAAGTTCTCCATTGTTCTGTCCCTGGTTCATTGTTTTGCAGCTACAAAAGTCACACTTTCCCAATAAATTTCTCTAAGCCTGGGAAGGAGAGCAAGCTGTCAAACTTCAAATAACTCAATAATGAACCTTTTCAACCCTTGGCAAGCTTGCAGTTTTCTCTCATCCCTCCGTCCAGCGGAACATAAGCGATTACGCTTCCAATTAAATTAAATTCCAAGCCCCTTTAGCATTATTCAGTACAGTCTAAGGATAATAGGGAGTTGGGAAGAATCAGCTCTGAGTTTCCATCATAAACCTTTTGCAAAATAGAACTCTCCCTTTTCCCAATTTTTCATTTTTGTTTTACACACACAATTCCATTTAATGTTATATTCCATATCTGCAATCCATTTTTCACCCTCATCATCTGAATATCCATAATTTAAACTACCATTTCAAGGGAGGGTTGCCAAATCATATATGTAGAGAATAACACTTTATATAAGGAAACCACGGGCTTCCCTCCCCCCACACCGTCTTTCATACCAAATGAAGTCTTTCAAATTCAAACTTTAACAACCTTGCAGCTGCTTCGATTCCACAGTTTATGATCTCATTTCTTCTGGCACACATCTCTACATTAGTCCAGATTAAACTCTGATTAACAGGACAACCTCTGCTTCTTAATGGCAGCGTAGGGGGGTTATCAGTAGGCAAAGTGCTTTTGCACTCAGCACCTCATGCCTCCCACAATCCATGCTGGAGCGAGAGCCAGGTACCAAGACGAACTGCGAGTGAAGCCCATCCCCCCCCCCGTCCCTGGGGAGAATTTGCAAGGGATAATTAACCTCAATCATCCTTGTTTTTACTTCGCCAACAATCTCCTGCTGTCGTGGGAGCTTTCTTCATTAAGGCAGACCGGAACCAGAAGCCAGGAAATAAGAGTTTTAATTGCCTGCCCTTGATTAGGTCTTTGTCCAGCTCTGCTGGCCATTGTGGGCAGGGTGGTGGTGTCAGCCTCAGATTTCCTGGTTAGATTTCTGCTTGTCTTGTAGTAAGTTTCTCCAGTGTGCAGCTCATGGCAATTGGCCGCCTGTGCCACCATTTGGGGCCTTACTCTGGTGGATGGATCTCTGGATTCTAGTAAAAGCACAAAGCTGAGGTCTGCCTGCCCCTAAGGTCTAGAATACTTACTAAGTGCTGGGGTAGCGTTTAAGACAGATGTCCAGGCACTCAGGCTTGCCCCACTAGTGCCATAAGCCCTTCTCCTCCATGCTGCATGGAAGAGCAGGTTGTACTTGCTTAGAATATGGACTTAGGCAGTTTAATGATATTCTGGCTGACTCACATAGATAGTTCAATCGATCAATCTTTATTACGGTCCAGAGACCCAACAAATCGTTACAAAGCAATGCACAATTCAGACAGCCTACCTCCAGGTTAAACAAGCATTTTGCTCAGACTTAAAGATAGGGATCATTGGTTCTTGCAACCACCGATAAAAACTTTGCCACTGCTAATTTTCTAGCGTTTGTCCGGTCTTCCAATAGGAACCTGACATAATGAGCCTCTGATTTTCCTGGGAAAGGTACCAGCAAGGGTAATATCAGTTCAGCCCTGGCTTGCTCATATTTCGCACAGTGCAGCAAAATATGTTTTATAGAATCGATGTCTTGGGCACATGAGCAAAGTCTGTCCTGGTAGGGAGCTCCTCTCCACCTGCCATCCAACACTGCAGAAGGAAAGACGTTTAGTCTGGCTTTGGTGAATAACCTTCAATAATTTGGTACTGTCAGGTTTTTAATGTAAGGCGTTAACTTAAAGACATGCCCATATTGTACTCCTACTGCCAGCAGACTACAGACTACGTGTGATCGAGATCGCAAGTCACTATGTGCATTATCCCATAATCTTTGCTTTAGCATCTTTACACTACACTTGATCTTAGCCAAAAGGCCGAGAAGCTTTAGCATCTTTAGGACACCTTCATAACCCAGGTAATAAAGTTGGGGGGCGGGTGACAGACCAGTAGAGGTGGCTTTTCTAGGCATGGTTTTCTGCCATTTGGTGAGAAACTCCTCATTGGTCAGGTGTTGGTATAAACCCTTTCCCTAGATCAAATACTGAAATCCTGAGCCAATGTTTTAGGGCAGCCCACCACACTTTAGTTGAAATTGGGTATTCACCAGCGTCTAACAGAAGTATGGCGTTGGAGACACAGTTGGGTACCTACAGCAGAGATCATAGAAATTTTGCCTTAAAGCCATCTAGCTTTGGCAGGTCCCCATTATGCCAGACATTTGCAGTGTACAGGAGTTGGGAAACGGATTTTGCATTGAAAACCCTTAAGGCTGCTGGAACATATTTGCTGCCCTTTGTGAAAAAGAATCTGACTATGGCTAGCTTTGTGATCTCCGCCTTTTGAAGGGAGGTTTGCCAGTGGTGCTTCCAAGATCCTGTATGATGGAATGTGAGCCCTAGATAACTGAAGTATTTAATCTGTTCAAGGTTATGGCCATCCAGCACCCATTTAGACCGGGAGAAGCTTCTTTTGAATACTAAAATTTTAGATTTTTCATAATTAATGGATAAACCATTTCCAGAACAGTAATAAGAAAACTTCCTCAGCAGATATTTCAAACCCAGTCTGGAACGTGAGATGATGGTTGTGTCATCCACATATAACAACAAAGGGGGTCCTTCTCATTCCTATTTTTGGAAGGTGTCCATCTGGGTCCATTAAGCCCTCTTCTAGTGTGGGGGCCAAAATGCATCCCTGTCTCAACCCCCCCATGTCATCTCAATACTGTTTGATAACTGTCCCTGCCGACCACATCGGACCTGCAGTTTGATTCCATTGTACAGGGCTTTTATAAGAAAGAGGAGTCATTTGTCCTGCAAAATCAGGTTTAATTTGGACCATAGCTGGGATCTGGGGATGGAATCAAACGCTGATTTCAGATCTATGAAGGCTACAAAGAGCTTACCCTGTAGAGGCCTGGTATACTTCTCGGCTAGGAAGGACAGCACTAGACACTAGGTCTGATGTTGAATGGTTCTCACGAAAGGCTGCCTGGGCTTCAGATAGTATATTATGTTCATTTAGAAAAGTTGTCAATTTGTTACTGAGAAATTGGGCATACAGCTTCCCAATTATTGAAAGCAGGCTAATTGGCCTATAATTGGAGGGTACGTTTGGGTGGCCTCTCTTAAAGATTGGGACTACTATAGCATGTTTCTGGCTATATGGTACTTTGCCCAAGTTATTTACTACCGTAAAAAGTGCTGCCAGAAGCGGAGCCCACCAGTGCTGGTTTGATGTGATCAATTTCAGGGATAAAGACTTTCCCTGGAGTCTTTCTGCTCTTCAGATTCCCAATTAATGTATAGACTTCCTCCATAGTAACCGGCCTCCGCTGAGGGAGCAGTGACAATTCTGCCCTGTCATCATCCTGGAAGCTGGAAGGGAGGTTTGGATTTTCCATAAATATATTTCTGAAGTGGTTCTCCCAAACCTGAGCTGGAATGGCACAGCTGGGGGCTGAAGAGCTATTTTTCATTGAGTCGGAGACCAGTTGCCAAAAGAGTCTAGTTTCATTGTTTAGTGAGGCATTCAATAGCAGGGACCAGGAATTTTGTTTGGACTGCCTTTTTTTTGAGGCCAAAAGGGCTTTATACTCTTTTTAAAATTTTGAAATAAGATGGAGGTAAGTAATTTAGTCCAGCATTTCTATAGGCCAAATAAGTGTTCCTTAAGGCTTCCTTCTTTGTACGGCACTCTTGGTCAAACCAACCGTGCCCTTTTGCAGTGCGGGGCTTGCCGGCTGAGTTTATGTTGACAGAGACCACATCCTGCAAGGACTCAATGAGATTTTCGTAAGCCATCAGGGAGGAATCTATTGATAAATTGTTTATTATAATTGATCCTAATTGCAGTTTCTGAATTCAATCTATTCTCAACTGCAATTGCTATCTGAGGTGTCCGTTTTTTTCTGCACAATGCTGGATCATTTGCTTTATCTATTTCCTCGTGTTCTATGTCAAGCCTGGACATAACTTGTTGACCCCTATATGTTATGAAACATGCAATTTGTGGCGAAAAAATATGTTATTGATTATGTTTGTTTGTTTGTTTGTTTGTTTATTGCCCTTCCTTCAAGCAGCTTAGGTAAGTGGCTTAGTCTTGCAAGAACCTTGCAAGAACCTTGTGCAGCAGTTGCTCTGGAGGCAAGCAGGCATTCTGCAAACAGGATTCCTGGGTCCTTCTGTGCCAGTCTATCCAATATGCTACGCTGGGTCTTTGCTATTTATTTTCAGTTGTCTTCTCAATTCCACAGATATCGTGGATGACATAAGAGAAGAATGTTGCAAATATGGACGGGTCGTGTCCCTGTTTGTTCCGAAGGAAAATCCAGGCAAAGGCCATGTAAGTACTTGGGCAGTCAAGATTTGAGTGTATGTTTCATCTTTGAGGTTTTGGTCTAAGGCTGCACTGACCTCTCCTTTTACAATGACAGCTGAGTGAGGCACATACTGAGGTTTCCTGATACAACTCCTGCCTTCTGTCTTGCATAGAGAGAATGATTCTCTTATAAATGGAAGCAGGTTTTTTTTAAAAATAATAATCAGATTTTGTGTGTGTGTGTGTTTGCATTTGTCTTTCTGGGAATCTTGGAATACTTTACTGCTTGTATATATCTCTAAAATAAAATTGTATACTATTGCATTTCAGACTTGGAGACAGGATTTTAATAGCATTATCTATTAATGCAGTATGCCTCTGAAATGCCACACGATTAAGACTATAAAACAATAGAAATGCACCTCCATTTAAGTTTTTCAATATTACCTTCTATACTTTATCCAGAGATTCTGGTAACATCTTCTAGTGTTATATTTTGTCTTTTAAAAATCACACTACTGTAGTGTACCACACTTAACATTTTGCAGAATTAAATCATTTTACAATCTTTTCTTATCAAATAAATGTATACCATTTTAATGTATTTTTCTCCTTAGTATTTAACAAAGGTAATCTACCAGTTTCTGGGAGGTGTCTTGCCTGTCCTGGAAAGCAAGAGTGCAAGGGGGCAAAGGAGATTGACATTCCTCCTGCTTCTTTTCAGGTCTTTGTTGAGTATGCAAATGCTGCGGATTCAAAAGCTGCCCAACGAGCCCTGACTGGGAAGAGTTTTGACGGCAAGTTTGTTGTGGCGACATTTTACCCACTGAGTGCCTATAAGCGAGGGTATCTTTACCAAACCATGCTTTAGTCTGCGGCAGCGGTCAGGAGAGACGCACGTATCCAAAGCTGCCTTGCTTTGCCAAAGTATTTTCCAGAGACGAACTCCATCTGTACTCCTCCTTTCTCATTCTGTGGTTGGCAAGAAAAAGGCCCAGGTGTTTCTGTTTTGTTGCAATGAAATCAGCCTCCTTCTTGCCTTTGATTTACTCTACAGTAACCAAAATGCTGTGAAATGGATGTTGGAGACTGAAGGTGAAGAAGAATTCAGTGGGAAAGAAATAGAGGCACATGGCAGTGTTGGGGGTTATGGCACCGAACTTAGAGATGCCAAGCATTGAATGGTGTCTGAAAGAGTCCGTGAAGCAACTCCGGAGTTCCTTGTGCCACAAGCAGAGAAGCAGCAGAATGTGCCATGGAGGACATGCATTCGGATGAGGCTTTTAATCTGCCTTCAAACAATTTTATGGGGAGAACAGATAACATTGTCAGCCCATTGTACTCCTCCCATATTTCCCCAGCACTTCCTCCTCCTTGTCTTCTTACCTCAGAAAGTCTGTTAAGGAGGGGAAAGTGGAGCAGGAGTGGAGGGGGCAATGGGTGCCATTTTGAGGCGTTCCTCCTTTCTCTATTGTTTCCAGTTTCAGAGACTTTCCAAGTCCCTTCCCTTGATCTGAGGGCTCTCCACCTTAATTAATTGCTTCTTGGAAAGAGGTTTTCCCAACCCACACCCTTCAGTTGGCTATTTAATCAATAAGTTACACTGGAAACAGTAGCACTTGCTTTAATGTAGAAATGTTTCTAGCTCTAGTCCTGTAAGGCTGCCGCCTTCTAGCTGTGTGCTGCAAGCACTGCTCTTCTTTTCACAATTTTACTATGGCCAAATAGTGAAAGTAACAAGCAGGAGAAATCAAGCTGGCAAGCTCTCTAGCCTGGTTGTGAAACTGGCTGTTTGATAAAGATCAGATTGTGAAACTGGTTAGTCTGCAGAGGGGGCATTTTCAAGCAAAGTCCACAGGACTTTCAGTCCAATTTGTAGCTGTGTTTATTCAGAAGTAAGCTTAGCTGCAAACCTCTTGCCCTGTGCTACTGGAACTCTTTTTAAAAGCAACTGCTTTTTCAAAAACTTTGCAATTGTGTTATTTAGAAAACGGTAGAAAAAACCCACAGAAAGTGATGTGCTAAAATGGCACAGAGATGCAAGCACCTCAGAATGTTAGGAGAAGGGTTTGGTGGCCACTGGTGAGGACAGGGAAAGGCAAAGGAACAACACCGCCCACCCTAGGGATGGAACATAACAAGATCTACACACCCAAAAGAGCACAAAGCCTGACACATCTAGTGGGTGGCCAACTGCAATGTCACTTGTATCTTATAATGGAAAAACCACAATGGGAGCACCCAAAACACAAAATCCCAGCCAGCTTTCAAAGGCTTCACACCCTAGGACTGAACATGTTAGGCTGTATCTGCAGAGACTTAAAGGAACATCCTCAGCCACAGAACAGGATTGCTGCCCTAAAAATAGGGGATCTGAGGCAAGGTTGGGTCACCCAGATGATTTGGCTATATAGAAGTTGAAGCTAGACAATAGACAGGTTGCACTTGTGGCATCTAGCCATTCCTTTGTAGTACAATGAAGCCTTTCTCCCAGGAAGAAGGCGAGAACCAGGGAAGGCACCTTTTGGCTCCCTACGTGTAAGCCCAAATAGAAAAGTAGACATTATCTCTAAAATGCTGCATTAGAAAGAGCCCTCATTTTCAAGTAAATCCTGGTTTGTGTACACTCCAGTGGATATTTCAGGCCCTGATCAAGTGCAGTTCCCGTGATAGGGCTCGTTGAGCTATGAGCCTTCTCTCTATCTAGTAAGAGACTTGTGGGGAGGTGGTTTTGTTTTGTTTTACAGTCTCTAAGAAATTGCCTGTTTGTGTCTTCCCAGCATCATCTGCTAATAGTTAGGCAGGTGCCTACAGAAAGGATTTAATTCTGCTCGCATAATGATATTATGGGGTGTTGTCCAACCAGATTCTTCCTGGGAGGCTTTCTGTAGAGTTACTTTCCTGAGCCAGTTTTAAACATGTTTTTAAGAGAAGAGTCTTTGTTCTGCTAGAAATGCTTGAAACTTCTGAAATTTGACTACTGGTCCTGCCCTCTCGAGGCTCCCAGTTCCCAGCATCTTATGCATGCTTCCCCTCAGCTTTCACTGCTGCTACCGAGAATGGAAGGCACCCCAGTTTGTGGCAGCAGTTTGCCTTGCTCTTAATCCCCCTTGACCCCGGCAGCCTCTCTTCCCTGCATGAGGATCCTTCACTTCTTGGTTTCTCAAAAGTTATGCAGCATTTCTGACAGAGTTGACTTGGGCAATGGTAGGAAAACAAGAAAGAGACGTTTTAAACGTCTCACCCACTCCTTTTAGAAAATACTTGATTTTTTTTGTAATGTCTTCAGAAGCTAGCATTTTAGAAGGGGGTGGGGGTGTATGCATAAATAATTAGGATTCTCTCGTGGCAAATTTATTCCTGGGTTTTGCCTCCTTGCCTTTCTGAGCTATGAATTATTTAAGACAGGATATTGTCTGCACTGACAAGTATACTGATATTGTTGAGTTTGTTTGACCTACGTAGCGTATCTGATATAGATTTTGGGAGAGTGACATTCCTGATTCTGGATGGGGAAGCGAACTGCATCCACAGCCTCCAAGTACCTCAAGTCTTCTATGAAGAGTTTGTGCAGTCTTGTCCTCTCACCTCCATAATTCACCTGGGTTTCAGTGGTCCTGCCCCTTTCAGTCTTCGTGACTTGGTTAAGTAGAATGAATGTCCAAAATGTCTACTGTCACCCCCCCCCCCCCCGCTTTACTGCCTGAGCTTGGGCTTGGCAGGGAAATGTTGCTGAGCTGCTCCTCTCTTAGCTGAGGGGGCATCTATTTTGAGCACATTTTAAGCCAGAACTGCACGAGAACTTGAAGGTCATGGGGCTTGTGGGCAAGGACAGGGGTTCTGTCCAAAGACCCGTTCGTAGCTTTGCACACATCTGACCTGGAGTCCATTTTTGGTTCTGGCCCGCCTCCATCTCTCTGCCCCAAGAAAGACAATAGCACTGCCTGTCTGGCTGGACTTGACTGTTCAAGAGCGTTGACATGATTCCTTTGCAAACTGTTCTGTAAACATACGTCTTCTACTCAGATTATTTAAGGAGATCATGTGCTCTATGCACCATTGCTCAGCAGCTCAAAAGATGAATGTACAATTTTAATTGAAAAATAAAGTAGATTTGTTCTGATGTTAACCAAGCTACCTTTTTTTACGGGCTGATTTGTGAGAGGGAAATTGGACTTCCAAACTGCATTGGAGATTATTGGTAGAGGGAACCCACGCCCTAATCTGCCCCACAGTTTTTCAAAAATGATCCTAGCATGTATGTTGTGCTTTTAAGTATTCAAATCACTTCACATATGTGAACATGCAGCGGAAACCAGAGTCTTGCTGTCCAGCATCTGTTGGTGACAGAACCTGTGAGTTCATTCCCCCAACTTGGATGCTCTGGATAAAGCTTCATTGGGGGCAAAACTATAGTGCTGTTAAATTTGTCACTTGCAGTTTCTGGTTTTTCCCCTCATTTCTTTAGCATTAAATAGCAACCACTTGGATATCTGGTCAGAATTGTGAGACATGGGCATTAGCTCTTCCTTGTGTTCCCACATCCACTGTGGGAAACACAGAAGGGAAGAGCTGCTCTTTCATGTTTTGTTTGGCCTTTGAGCTTCCCCACTGATCTCCATCAGGGAATCACACACCTGCTAAAAATAAAGATGGATTCAAGTGATGTATTCAGCACTGCATGTAGGTGACTAGATCAACCAGCACAGTGAAGTTCCATCAAACTGGGGGGTGGAATGTATTTTTTTTGGGGGGGGGGGAAATGCCTTTAACTGGCAATGGAGCTTCCAGAAAAGTTTAGAATTTGCACCTAAGAATGGCTTTTTCTAAAGAATTCAGCTCCCTCCCCATATTACTTTCTGGAAACAATGTGAATATTGTCTTGACCGGGGCGGGGTGCACTGCTCACACAGCCTCTGATGTTCAGATTTCAAGCTACAGGCAGCCTGGGTGGGTAAGAACTGGTACCCCTTTCAGCTTCTATCACACTCTTGGCAGCCCCGGGACTGACTGACACCCACTGATTTCAGTGGGTCTGCTAGAATATTTTAACGGGAGTTATGGTGTCTGGTCTGGCATTGGTTTCAAGGTTGTTCTTTTAATCATAAAATATACAAAATCAAATCAAATACTCCAGAGTTTTCAATAAAATTACAAGCCACTATTTCATAAGTTAAACATATACATTTTCTAGTTCCATGAATATCTCAGCAAGTCCCTCCCTGCTGCTAGGCAAATATCAGATTACACACTTAAGATGTTGGGATAAAGGAGCAACAACCTGCAATCTCTGCCGCCCTGGAGCTGAGTGTGTGCAAGAGGCCAGCATAAGCTAGATATAGCTTCTTCTATCCCCCGCCCCCCAAGCGATGTAGCCTCCTGTGTGATTAGGACTTCTGGACAAACTTGCCACATTTGAGTGATGGTCTGGTTGGCCCTTATAAGTGTATTGCCCAGTGGTGGGTTTGGGAGGTTTCCCCCTAAAGGACTATCATGACTATCTTTGCTTTGTATGCTTATGAAACAATACTGAATCTAGTTATTTGGAGCAGGATCTACAACCAGAGAAAGATGCTTTCTCACCAGCTGAAGGTAGACTTTGCATTTAGACGGTTGATTCTTCTCCAACCATTAGGTAATAGTGTACCATTTGGGTTTCACTGACTTTATTTACCTAGGACGCTCTAGACCATTCTATAGATGATCACTAGATGGAAATCTAATGTGGCTGAGCCAAAGCCGGTCGGTCGGTAGTCGCTTGCTCTCCAGGCCTGAAGCTAATTTCAGAAGTTAAGGAAGTCCTTCGTGGCTCTCTCTTTCAACAAACTCTCAGGCTAGCACTCTCTCTCTTTGCCTTTTGCTTCTGATTCCAAACTTGCTTTCTGACAGAGTTGCTGCAGCTAAAAAACAAACAAACTCATTCTTTACAAAAGGACAGATTTTTCCAAGCACATTCCAGAGGATGCTCCGGTTGGCCTCCTCCATCAGATGAGCAAAACAGGGTGCTGCCTCTCAATGTCATGAGCCAGGGGCACAGACTCCCCCCCCCCCCAGCCTGGAACTTCCTCTTCATGCCCTGCAGCTGAGATGCTTCTAAAGTGAGCAAGTTCTGCGGGTTCCTCCTCTGGTTACGAGGCTGCTCACTATTGTCAAAAAGCAAGGCAGCCATGTTGCTCCCTTGGGAGCAGGGAGATCCACAAGAAGAGCCAGGTGATATGTCAGGAAATAATGAGCAAGGTGTTGAGTTCTTCAGAGTTCCTGAACTTAAGAATTTAGAAACGAGTTTACTATTTTGTGATATTTTTGTTGGTTTTCATAAAGCTATTGCCTTTCTGTGGTGTTTCAGGTGATGGTTCTCCTACCTTGCCCGAAATAATATGTTAAGATTTAAATATTGATCAATGTTTATTTGTCCATTTTTATGGCACAGCCAAAGAACAATACAATAATGGAGTTTTGGAAAATATGGTACTGCGTACCATGGATCTGTGGGGAAGCCATTTGTGGGTCCTCGCTATGACAGTAAAGACTGAGTAGGTGTCAGATTGAAACCCATCATATAGACTTGCTGAAATATATATATATATATATATATATATATATATATATATATATATTTACCAATTTCCCAAAACTTTAAAAAGATAAAACCGCAGGGAAAGATCTTCTGCGAAGTTCAAGATGAGTTGCGGGAGGGAGGCTGGAAGCATTCAAAGGGTGAGACCAAAAGGATCTGACCTAAGAGGAGTGTAGGAAACAGAGGAGGGAAGGCGGTGGGCTCCCCAGAGAAAAGAACTGCTGGGAGCAGAAGGCCCAAGGAAGGCTTGCATACCAGGGGAGAGAAACCAAAGAGGGATGAGGTGGGCGAGAACAGAAAAGCAATGGCGGGGGTGTGTGTTTGGAGGCGGAACAAAAACAGCCTTAAAAGTCAGATGAGTGTGGCTCCGCCCTTTGTAGTTGTTTATGAGCCCCTCTTGTAGCCCTGCCAAGATTCTGAAGCCCCCAAATATCCCAAGCCACACTCCATTTTCTCCTGTCACCCACAAGGACACATTTCCAATGACAGACCCTCCAAGTGTCACTGTTTTCCAGGAACTGTCCCGGATTTACAGAAGCCCTCCTGGTTTCTGATTTGATCCTGGAACATCCTGCTTTTCCTTAGGACATCCCTATTTTCATTGGAGAAATGTTGGAGGCTATGGAGTTATGAGAACCCCCAAGCCGTCTGAAGGCAGCTCTGTATAGGGAAGTTTTTTAATGTTTCATGTTTATGAAAAATATTATTATTATTATTATTACTACTACTACTACTACTACCACCACCACTGCTACTACTACTACTATCATTATTGAATAGGACATCCCTATTTTCATCTGGAAAATGTTGTAGGGTATGCAATGCCTGAGAAACCTCAGTCCATCTTTTCTTCTTAGCCAGTCATAAAATGCACTGGCAGTAGATCCCAGCCCTGTCTGTCAAGGAGAGGAAACACTAAAGTTTTGTTTTGTTTTTTAAAAAAACCAACCACCAAGGAACTTTCTGTGGAGGGCAGGCGGAAAGATCCTTTGGGGCTTCTTCCCTGCTGCTTCCTCTCTGGCCACAGCAGTGTGCGCCACCAAGTGGCTCTGTGCTGCGAGCCTGGCTCCCTTGCAAGCGCATGGGAGGGAAAGGGCTTGCTGCTGTTGTGACCTCTGGGAGTGCAGAGCAGAGAGCAGGAAGAGGCTCCAGGCAAGGGCTGCAGGGAAAGGGTGCAAGCAAACGAGAGGGAGAGGGAAGGAAGGAAGGAAGAAAAAGAAAGAAAGTGAGCTGACCCTGGTGTGAGAGAGTGGAGCTCAAAGAGAGACAGAGAAACCTGGAGGGTGGCACGGGGGGGGGTACATTTTGTTTAACTCCTCAGGGGGCAGCAGAAGAGAGGACCCCCAAGGAGAGGCTGCTCCCCAGGTCCCCTTGTGGTGCTCTTGGTGCTCCTGCCAGAGGGACCTTTCTCTTCCCGGAGTTCTTCAAAACAGCTTCCTGGGCATCTCGGGTGCTAATCTTGCGTGTTAAATTTAAGGGATGAGATTTTGATAGCTGTTTTTGTTCTGTTCAGTTTTGGTGTGGGGGCCTTAAGCTTTATTTCACCAGAAGTTTTTTGTTTAATTCTAAGCCTCCCAGAGAACTCTGCATTATGGGCAGCAGACACATATATAATATAAAATTGTGTGTGTGTGTGTGTGTGTGTGTGTTTTGGATGGAGATCCTAGGGAAGAGAGAGGTGCAAGGGGCTTTCCCCCTTCCCCTCTTTTTTTGCTATTCCATTTCCTGCCCGACTAATGTGATGGCTCTGTGACAAGAAATATTGGGGGGTTGCAGAGGGGAAACGAGTGGCCTGAGAGTTAATTGGACACGATAGATATGGGTGATGAATGTGGGGTAAATTGATTTGGAGTGATTTCTCAACTAATTTGGAGAAATAATATTAGAGGGATTTAATTGCCGATCGCATGGTCGGCGGTTCGAATCCCCGCGGCGGGGTGTGCTCCTGTCGTTCGGTCCCAGCGCCTGCCAACCTAGCAGTTCGAAAGCACCTCCGGGTGCAAGTAGATAAATAGGGACCGCTTACCAGCGAGAAGGTAAACGGCGTTCCGTGTGCTGCGCTGGCTCGCCAGATGAAGCTTGTCACGCTGGCCACGTGACCCGGAAGTGTCTGCGGACAGCGCTGGCTCCCGGCCTATAGAGTGAGATGAGCGCACAACCCTAGAGTCTGTCAAGACTGGCCCGTACGGGCAGGGGTACCTTTACCTTTACCTTAATTCAAGGTGATTTGGAGGAAATTAATTAGCCGCCAGCTTAAATGGGCATTCTGTTGTAGTTCAAAGAAGTGGTTTTGTGCCCTGAGAATCAGACCCCACCTTTTGCCTCAAATGCAGATTCTTTGGCAAGTTGCTCATCTCTTAACCTCACCATTTTGCTTTTTGTGAAATGGATGTCAAATTGCAGTAGTAAATTTTGAAATGGCTACACCCTAAGGCCACCATTTTGTGGCTGTCCACACTCCCATGGCCGCCATTCTGGGATGGTGTCCACAAAACCTCCTCAGATTTCCAAATATGCTGGTGAGGCCCCTGACAGAACACCTCCTGAGGGGCGGCCACTGGAGAACAAACAGCTAAAGAGGGACAACTATTTTCTGTGGTGGACTGAATCCTAGTTTCATTACGTCCATAGCTTCCTCTTCGACTCACCTTTTAAATTTTTTAATCTCCTCCCTTGACTCAATACGGCAGCTTTAAGGTATACTAGAGCTTTTCAGAGGATTCTGCACACCAGTTTCTTTTTAATGTTGGACCTGTGTCTATTTAGACTCTTGCATAAAAGCTTACTGGTTTGCCCTATATAAAACTCTATGCAGTTGAAATTGGTACATTAACTTTTTGCACCCTAAAGTGCAATTGGGAATCATTTTAATCCTAACAATAGAGAGAAATAATGGCATTTTATCTAGGTAAATCCTGTTTAAACTGCATTCCCAGATTATTTTTGTGTGTTCCACAAATGAGAAAACAGGCAAGGTAGTCAACTGCATTCTCCCTACTTAAAGGCAGCTTAAAAGACAGCTACTCTGTGCTCACTTACGTGGGACGTAAGTCCCTTTGAACTCAATGTGACTTACTTCTGAGCTGACGCAGATAGGATTGCAATTTGCAAATATTTTGCAGCTCAACTTGCATGTTTGTTGTGCCCACTAAATTTGTACCTCAAATGGTGAAAAGAAACAACAGAGTATTGTTGGTGTTGCACTGCTACAGTTCCAATAATGGGAGGAGACAGTCCTAAAAATGAGAGCCATCCCCTTCTGCCGCGTGTGCTGCATTTCAGAGTGAGCTAGTCAGAATCAGTAGGAAAAGAGGACTATAAAAAGCACAGTAAAAAAAAAATTTCAGCAGTGGGTTTTATTGCATTTTGTAGGTACTGTTAATCGCTGGCTTCCTTCAGAAGTTTTGTACAAACTGGCAATAAACTGTATACATGATTTTAGTTCTTGAACCAACAGAATGAGATCCAGAAGTGACGTGGTGAAGATGCTCTCGTCAGAGAGGCTCTCTCATTGGCTGGTTGTCTTTCAGGCTGGGTTGTCATGTGACTGCCTGTCTGTGCCTGCTGTACAGGTGAGTGCATGTTCTGCACAGCAAGTGTAGACAGGCAGACACATGGCAACTCTGGCCGGCCAGCCCATTGCTCCAGCAGGGATGCTCTGCTCTGGGCTTAGCAGCCTGACTTCACGGCAGAAGGAGGGGGAAGGCACGGTACACAAGCAAACTTTACACATTGGGGAGCTCTCAAACAAAGAAGACGTTTACTTTATTTAGAAAACTTGCGCTGTTCTTTACATTATTATTATTTTTTCTTGACATACACAAGACGGAGATTGCAGCAAGACATGCGCCCAGAACAAATCTTAATTCATTTCAAAAAGTCTGCATTCATGGTGGGTGGGTGGATGTAAAAATATGTGCTAAGAAAGCATTACTGGGTTTTAAAATTAAGGATATATTTACCCAATATGTGTTTGGGTTTTCAAAATATGCATAAAACATTGTCCTGTTGGTGGAAGTTGCCATTTCCAAAATGGTCCAGCTGACGGCTGTTGGCCTAAAAGCTCACAGTGTGTAAGAACTTTTATACACAATTCACATTTGATTTGCCACATGAATTATATTGCACCCAATTTTTTAAAAAAAGCAATGTTATAAACGCCAGTATAAAGTCAGTTCTCAAAAGTGTGATTTGTGCATCAAAAATGCAGAAACAGAACACGTGTCAGATCCTTATGAACTTGATACTTCAGAACAGCAATTTGTCCTCCTGCACCCCAGCAGTGTTACATGGAAACAGAATACATCACCATATTCATAGAATCACAGAATCTTAGAGTTGGAAGAGACTCCAAGGGTCATCCAGTCCAACTTCCTGCAATGCAGGAATCTCAACTTAAGCAGCCATGACAGATGACCATCCAACCTCTCTTTAAAAACCTCCAAGGAAGGAGAGTTTAATTAGTATTTCATTTTGGTGGCTGGGGGGGGGGGGGAGAGAATCTTATTATGATATGCATATAATTTTTTTTTTTAGAAAACTCCATTAAAAGTTCATGATATACTTTGCTCTTTTAATTTGGTGTGAAGTATGTTGTGGTTTGCCAAAATTCAATCTTCAAAGAACAGTAAGTGTGCAATAAAGGAATATTGACAACTAACAATAAAGCACTGGCTGAACTGAAAGCTTGAAGGCTGCGGGGGCTGTTACAAGACGTGTCACGCTATTTAAATGCTTTCTAGTCATATGGGGAAATGTATGTTTTACATTCACTCTATAACTGTGTCTCTCACATGCTGCTGCTACAGGTTAGTAATATTCAAGACATGTATTTTAAAATGTTGAAGACTCTACTTTCAGCACATTATTAGAATTCCATTGTCCCGATTGTATTGATTTTGAAAAAGATACAACTAATAGCCAAAACATACTCAGATACAGCATTCACAGCTAGTTCTCCCCAAGCTTTAAGATTTTATAGAAAATGCAGAGTTGTGTTGAAATGTTGTTTCTTAATTTTTGCAAATGCAAATTTACCTTCTGCAAATGCTGCTTTGTTTTTTTGGGAGGTGCTGTTAGATGCTATGTAAAAATACTTCTCTTATCTCCTTCCTTTGGTCTAAACCGCTTTGAGACAACCCCCCACAAAATAAAGTGGCATAGAAATGATGATGGATGATGATGATAGACGACTATTTCACCCATTTCCTGTTTGACCCCATCCCTTGCCAGCCTTTTGGTACTAAGTTTTTATTTTAGTTTTGTGAAAGTAAAAGCAAACATAGAAATATGGGGATGTGCAAGTATGAGAAACTATTTTAGATACTGCAGGTAATGTAAAGTTTTATTGCACCTATACTCCTGCATAAACCTGATTGGTCAATTTTTATTTCTTTTATCATTGTTAAAAATGCTTGGCTAATGGAGTTTAATTTTGTTTACAGAATTTCCTCAGGACAAGGATCCTTGGGTGGTCTGCAGACATTTCTTTGTTAGAGAGGAAGAGATTCTCGAATGCAAGGGTTGCCTAACATGGGGGTGGAAAGAAGCAGAAATGTAGGGAGTAAATCTTGTCATCAGCTGCATTGTCTCGATTGGGATGGCTGCTGGAAATCATTCTGCAGATAACTGAAATCATCCTTCACCTCAGCTGTATTTTCTGCCTCACTAAAGGAAATGGTGGCTGTCTTAAACTTTTTCTTTCTAATCTCAAACTGCAACTACTTAATTTAGAGAGCTTTTTCCTCGGGTTTTGCTCTATGTGGTAAAATGGAAAAACAGAGCATGCTGCAAGCACAGCATAAAAAAAATGGGATTACTTAATACTTTAAGGATTTTAAAGAGTTTCATATGCTGGCTCTGCAACACTACTATCTTCCTCATTCACCACAACATGTAGTGACCATGTAGCAATGAACTACGGGACCTAATTCTGCTTTGCATTTTCCACTAAACAAACTTTCTCATTTCAGCCTCATTCTTGAATAAGCTTTATAAATTAAGAATAACATGTTGAACTGCATCTTCAAACCCTTGGTTTTATCACCAAATTCCTACAAATCTCAAATCAAGAGACACACAAAAACATTATTGGATCTTTGTGTTTGTTGACTTCCTACAAATCAGTGTTCCCCAAAGACAGTATTTAAGATCCTTGCCTAGCCATGTAGATTTTTTTCCTTCTCTGGCCTTTGCTGGTTCTCCCTCTCTTTGTCTGCACTTTTGCCGTTTCCCCTCTACCGTCTGGCAAATGAAAATGAGAGATACACGTGAGAGGAAATGCAGACAATTTCTACCCACGGCTTGTTTCTAGACAGCAGAATGTGAATTCCAGGGGGATTTCACTCCAGTTGTTGTAGTTGTACAGTAAGAAGACATTTAGAACTGGAATATTTCCTTTTTTGTCTTGATTCTTATTAATAAAATACGGGAAACAAATTAATATTTTTTAAACGTACTGACCCCAAATCTGTATTGCTACTTGCATGATAGCCAGCCTGTTCACCATTCCTTGGAAAATATTTTTGGTCCCCCCACCTGAATTGACCCCTCCTTATATGCCACAAAAGTTTGCCACTGTGCTGTCTAGTTATAAAATCAAGTGAAAGATCAAAGCAATAATTTAAAAATTGTTAACATTTTATGTTTCTCTTTTCATGACATTCGGCTCCTTTGAATTTGCAACTGCAACTTTGTGCTTGCTATTTGTTAAAACAACAGCAACAAATGACAGGCTTTAACATGATAAAAGTCTGGTACAAACATAGATACGATGGCTTGAAACTAAGACTGCAGTCCTGCTAACCTGAGAGTAAGTCGATAAAAGCAGAGTAACTATGTGTAGAATGAGGCAGCAGCAGAGGGGATGACTGACACCTAGCCCTATGTCCCCGGCACGAGGATTGGAAGACCTACGGACACTTGGAGCATTTTGGGGACCAGAGAGACGGTCATATGAGACCACTTACTATGTGCATGTATCCATTTAATACATCCACTTTTTAATTTAAAAATAAGAGTTGGTCTATGCCCACTTGGGAACCTGGCATGAGGTGGGGGAGGGGGGTTGTTTTTCTACCCTAAATTTGTTGCATTGCTCTCCTGGCAAAAAAATGCCCGTCCTTTCTCCAAGCACAAAGGTTGCTCTTTGCCCCAGGAGGGAAGCTGTCCTTGGCACTTGATGGCAGCTTCTCTCCTGAGAGGGGTATCAGCTTCTTGGTTTTTTGGGGGGTGGGGGTGGCGGGTATTTTTTTTATACCAGGATTGCAGCACAGAGTGAAATAATTGGTGCCCCCCCCACACCATCCTGATTCCCTCCCCTCCTGTGTCTGCTATTTATAAAGTAAAAATAAGACATTTTAAAGATATATGCACATTTAATATACTGTCTAGTTTAGCCCACAATGAAACTTGTAGTGAATTTTTGAGACTACAAGAGGGGAGGGGTGAGGAGAGGGGGTGCAGGAATGTAAATTATAATAATGTGCATATATAATTTTGTTTGCAATTATAACACAAGTATCTGTGCTTGCAGTGTATTTAACTTAAAATCTTCATTCAAAGCTTGAAAATATTCTTTTTTAACCAATACCAAGCTTAAAGCTTAAAGAAATGTCCTTTGAAGTGAAGAGGGTATCGAATTACAGCACAGATTTCCATCCACCCCCCCACCCATCCCCTGCCGTTCCTTCCATGAAGACTTTCATTCAGTACCAAGTTCTACCCCTTCCCCACCACCGTAATAGGATAGTTGAAAATGCACCAAAGGAAACATTTTCATCTTTTTACAAATTCCACTTTTATCAGTGGGATTCATGGTCCAGGAACTTAGTCTGTAGGCTCTGTGGCCTCAAAGTCTTAATGAATCCTGGGCTTCCATCAGCAAGGCATAGACGTTTAGAGGAACAAAAGTTATCTTCAGAATAAAACTTCCTGCATCTGGTGAAAACTTATGGCATGATACCTGTGCCACAAGATCTTTATTGATTTTGATGAAGAGGTCTGCCTTGGCTACCTGTTGCAAATCATCTGTGATTGCACCTAGTTTTGATTGCTCTTTTTTGTGATAATGAATTGCACAGGTCCACTATTTTAACAGATGTCTTTAAAGATGTTTCTGATTTGGCATTCTGATCCTAAAGACATTAACTTGAATGCAAGTGATTCCTTATTCCACGTGGAGAGGCCGCTGGGTGGCCCATGCAGGGGTGGGAGCAAATCCCAGGGAGAGATGGGCTGCAAGGGGAAAGGCAGAGCACTGTGTGGGGAGATGGGGAGAAGCAACTGGCTGCTGTGCCTCAAAATGCACAGGGAACGGAAGACAATTCAGGCAAGCAGTTAGCTCTGACCTCCGCAATGTGTGGGGCTTTGCTTCAGCACTAGGGCATGATCTGTGTTGCTGCCTCTCGCAGCTCCTACACACAAAATACTCAGACACTCCAGCACTTTTGTGTAGATGAGCATCGCTTGTCTGGGGGAAGGGGGCTATTAGGTGGGAATAGGCTCCATTGATTTCGGAGGAATATTTGTCCACATATTGTGTACAGGATCAGGAAAGAAGTGTATCGGGCTTTTTGTAAACAAGTATTTTTCAGATTTGGGGTTAAGATAATCAATAATTTTCATTTGTATAAATAGAAATAATATTCTTAAACTGAATTTAAAATCTGAAATGTATAAATATTAAATAATACCAGTAGTGCTGAAGACACCTACTCAATTTTTTTCCACACTTCCACAATTTAATTATTATTAGTATTCTGCAGGTAATGCATAAATAGTATTAGTAATTTTTTTAAAAAAATATGGCATTTTAAAATTGCCGTACTTTTACCAGTGGCAATGGCAGCATTTCATTCTCCTATGCCCCCTATGGGTCCAAGCTATACCTTTTGTTTTTCTTGCTTGTGTACTAGCTCACCAGGAGAGGTCCAGTTTTCTTGCCTGACACAGCAGGGTAAGGAGTGTCCCCTATTTCCAGATCGTAGGTCAGACGCTCTTCTGAAGTGGCCTTACCGGAATGTCTTCCGTGCATTACTCAGAGAAGTCCTCTTCCCGTGTGCCTGGACAGTGTCCCTATTTCCTAGCATGCAAAACCTGTGAAGAAAAAGACTCTAGGTCAGTTCTGAAAGGAGCCATCCTGCTCTTCTGTGCGCGATGTTCTCGGGAGTCCAGGCCGCTGCGTTCCCTTGCCCAGTCTAACCAATGTGCAGACTACTGTACAACAGCATTGTCCTGAACAGGTAGTCTGAACACTGGGGCGACGGAGCAGGATAGGGTGAGATTAACAATAATCCTCCTTTAGTCTGTGGGGGGGAAAATCCCCTTCCCGCATCAGGCTCTGTTCTCCTCTTTGCTTCAAGCCCTGCAACACTCCTTGAAATGCGCTGAAGTGCTGCGATTTCTAGCCTTGACGTGGCACATTTGCAGTAGACTCTGGATCTGGCAATGAATTTAGGACCAGGAGAAGGGGGAGGGCCGGGTCTGAGCATCCATATATGGGATGATGTCACCCTAGGGAGGTTTGGGTATGCACTGTGCCGATGGTGAGACCGCTGGAATTGCCTGCTCTCAGACATGGGTCTGTGTATAAAATGGTACCAGATGTTTTAGTGTAATGTTAAGCAGTCATTTCATCTTGAGGCCAGGTTTTTTTCTTCAACTGGGCAGGAAATGGGCCCCACTATGGAAAAGCTGTAAAAACTCGAGAAGTACAGTTTTGCTGCAGCAAGTTCAGTTCAGAGTGAATTAAAATAAATCTAAAAAACAAAACAAAACTCACTTTCACGAACTGGTCATTAAGGGAAATAATAATCTAAACTTTCTGATTCTTTCAGCTGAGCTTCCTTTTATTTTACTTGTTGGTCTTTTGGACTCAGAAAAGGATCTGGTTTTCTCTCTCTCTCTTGGAACAGTCGAGTCACAAACAGGCTGCTTTGGACTAGCACAGTAATTACAGCCACTTCCTGAAAGTGAAGCCCCCATGAAAAGTCTGCAGAAATGTTCTTTGTCAGAGAGTCTACATAAGTAATTAGTTCCACATGTGCTCTTCATATTTTCCTCCAGCTATTTGGGCTGACTTGAGACATTGCTGGAGCTCAAGCCTAGCTCTAAGCTTTTCACTCCAAGCGTTTGCCCTGCAACAATTTATGGTGTCAAAATTAATTTTCTTGGTGCTATCAGTGCCATCAGCCTGGGTATCAGTTTTTTACCAGCCGCCCTTCAGAACCCATTTTGTTTTTATTGGTGCTTCTTGGAGTTGTCCTTTTCATTCCCCCCCCCCCCCGTGAACCTCCCCTTGCTTTCTCTTTCCTGTTCTTCTCTGCCCTTGTGGGCATCAGACAATTCTCCTTGCTCATGGGAAGAGGCTGGAGGGCCCGGGGTGTGTGTGTGTTGGTTCTTGTGCTGCTTTGGGACAGCAATTGTCTTTAAATGCAATTACTAACTTATTTTATTCATACATACCTTTAAGTCATTCTGTTTATATCCTGCCCTTCTTCCTGAAAGTTTTGAACAAACTTAAAAACAAACAAATCACACCCAGACTCCAAACTGATTTTAGGTGAATCCCACGTTCTGCAAAATACAACACCAACATAACCCCCCCCCAAAAAAAAACCCCACCTCTTTAACAAACAAGTGGACTGCATCTGATAAGATTTCACAGGCATTTGGTTAGAACATTTAAATAATGTCAAGAAATTACAAACATTTAGTGGGCTGCCTGTTTAGCAACAGGGACACAAAAAAGAAAATAGGGCAGGGAGGAGACCAATTACAAAAATAATGTAAAAATTAAAAAAGTCACAGCGATAAAACGATCTCAAAATAAATAACAATGCCTTTATTATTAATAATAATAAAAATAAATTTTATTTATATCCCGCCCTCCCCAGCCGAAGCCGGGCTCAGGGCGGCTAACAACAATCAAATAATCAAACAATCAAATAATCAAACATTCTAAAAACATTTCATTATAAAAATTAATTAAAATCAAATTAATGGCAACCGTTAAGCAAAATTCTGTGCAGGTTGCCAGAGGAGGGAGTCAGGCTGCGCCCTGACCAAAGGCCTGGTGGAACAACTCTGTCTTGCAGGCCTTGCGGAAAGATGTCAGGTCCCGCAGGGCCCTAGTCTCTTGTGACAGAGCCGATTGGAGCCACAGCCGAGAAAGCCTTGGCTCTAGTTGAGGCCAGCCTAACCTCTCTGTGGCCTGGGACCTTCAGGATGTTTTTATTTGCAGACCGTAGGTTCCTCTGTGGGGCATACCAGGAGAGGCGGTCCCGTAGGTACGAGGGTCCTAGGCTGTATAGGGCTTTAAAGGTTAAAACCAGCACCTTAAACCTGATCCTGTACTCCACCGGGAGCCAGTGCAGCTGGTATAATACCGGATGAATGTGATCTCGCAGCGAAGACCCCATAAGGAGTCTCGCCACGGCATTCTGCACCCGCTGGAGTTTCTGGGTCAGTCTCAAGGGCAGCCCCACATAGAGCGAGTTACAATAATCCAGTCTGGAGGTGACCGTTGTGTGGATCACAGTGGCTAGGTCAGGGCGAGAGAGGTAAGGAGCCAACTGCTTAGCTTGGCGGAGATGAAAAAATGCCGCCTTTGTTATAGCTGTAATCTGCGCCTCCATAGAGAGGGAGGTATCGAAGATTACACCCAAACTCTTAACGGACGGTGCTGGCACTAATTGCACCCCCGCAAGAGATGGGAGTTGCCCCCTCAATCTCATATCGTCCCGTCCCAGCCAGAGGACCTCTGTCTTTGAAGGATTTAACTTTAACCGGCTCCCAAGTAACCATCCAGCCACAGCTTCCAAACACCTGGTCAGTGTGTCTGGGTGATGTAAAACACAACAATAATTAGTGTTGCAATCGGTATCGCAAATAAACATTATTGATGCTATAATTACATTCATAACAGCTAAAAATAATAATACATAATTATAAACTCACATTATTAGCTGCATAATTAATTAAAAGACCTTTGCATCATAAATATAGTTGATAGACAGACGGCAAAAAAATCAGTTTGAATTTTCATCCTGAACCATCCAGTGACAAAGGTAGGTATTCCGTTTTCAGGTTAACAAAATTATCACTGAGTCACCATATCTGTCAATGTGTGCATCAATAAAAGCAACTACGGAACGACAGCAACATTTTTTTAAAAAGAAAAGAGGGTAACTATAACCATATAACAAATCAACATGCTCAGCAAAAATGTCAACCCAGAGTTTAGCAAGAGAGGCAGTACTCTTCCCTGGTCCTTGTATAGAGGCCCCCGTGCACTCTGGGTAAAATGGAGAGTTTTCTCCCCATGTGGCGTTTGGACTGGTCATTCAAGAGTCAACCTTCTCTGTTTTGCTTTTAGCACACAGGAGGTTCTAAGCCGGCTTGGAAGATGCCTTGCCATGGATCATGTCCTTGTTTGCCTCACTATGTGATCCACACAGAATACCGGGAGGTCAGAGTGACACTCATAATTCAATTGGTACTTGGTTAAGGGTTGCCATATGTCTGGAATTTCCCAGATATAGCTGGTATTTGCCCCTTTTAAACAGCGTCCGGGTGCAAAATCGCTGTATGTCTGGGATTGCCAAATAAAGCTCAACAACTTTGATGTTCTGAAACATGGCAACCCTAACTTAGTTTGGAGCTGCCTGAGTACAGGCAGAAGTTCAGTTTGGTTCTGATTTTAATGATAATGTACAATAGGCAAACTGAAACACAGCTATTCTTCCAAATTCACACTTTTCTGAATTTTGTGATTCAGTCCCCTAACCCCAAAAGGTGGATAATAATGCATATATTAGTGGAAATAAGATACAAAATGTATTATTGGGGGGGGGGTGATTGCAAAAATGTGTGTATTAGGCAAAATTACATGCACATCTTTGTATATTAGGGGAAATGCATACTAAAATGCTGATGAATTTTCACGATGACGTATACACAGAAACACACACAAACACAATTAAGCATTAGTAGAATTAAAATGTATACATACAAAAGATCACACAGAGATCATTACCATAAAAGCATCACAGCACCAACCCTAATGGAGTAGAAAGTTCCAAAGGGTTGATTGTGGTAAGAGGTTGATTCTGTAGGTTCATCCTACAGTCATAAACATTGGAAGAATAAAAGTACAAGATAATAAAAGCATCATCATCATCATAGAAAGCTTTTAAAAAATGGGGTAAATATACATTACAAGGTTGAATACAAGGCTCACATTTGTCCCAAACATACCAAATCTTCATGATTGTTGCCAAATAATGTCATCTTTAGAGAATGTGCCAACCATGAGATGGTTTGGTCATATAAATCACAAACAAGCCCCCAAGCAGAAGCAAAGTTGGAGGTGTCAGCATCATATTTTATGAGTCATTATTTCAGAAATGGCAATGAATATGACTTTTTTAAACCCTAGATCCATAGGATGCAGGCTTCCACCCTTGAGAGATCACTAGATGAGCGGCAACCAACAGATACAGAATTAATTTTGGAGAAGTAAGGTCAGCATTGGCTCCATTAAAAATCAATAAGAGACATGGCTTGGTGTCCAAGGTGACCTGCCTACAGTAATGCCAACCTCCATTGCAACCTGCTTCCACTATGTTCCTCACACCTTATGACCCCCGCCAGTGGCAGGGGGAGCCAAATATGAGCTAGTCCAACTGGGGTTAAAAACCAACAGTGGCATTGGGGCGAGTTCTTTTAAGGTGGTCCACCACGGGTTTTTTAAATGATTTTTTAAATGTCAAACTAATGCAAAAATGTGGAGAACTGAACATAAGACTGGGGGAAATGAGAATCCAAGAGGAACCACAATGGTCAGATCCACCCATCCCTCCACTAGTTTAGGCTGGAAAATCCTGGGCCCATTGCCTGCCATATTGCTGGCATCACAGCGGAGGGCTGCCTGACTAACTCATCAAAACAAAACCTTGAATGTGTCCGTCCAGGTAGAATGTGATAAAGTCAATTAATATGGCGTTACTTAACATGTTGCAATTTCCCAATACCATCAAGTTCACTTCATCTGAACAGCTCATGTCCAGAGTACCTTCATTTAGAAACAGTTTTTTCCTTCTCTTCCAGAAAGTTGCTGTTTATGAAGCCAACAAAACGCAAAGAAGTGTTGGGATGGAGTGGGGTAACAATAACTCATGGAAAGCCAACTCTGTACCTCGAGAAGATGCTGGACTACAACTCACATACTCCCTAACCATTGCCCCTGCTGGCCACAGTGAGGCTGATGGGAGCTGCAGCTCAACAACATGGGAAGGCCCAGTGGCGGAGCTTCATGCTCTGGCACCGGGAGACGGAGGGCAGGCGGGGGCGGGGCTGGCACGCATCCCAGGGGCATGGCGCACCACCTGCAGGGGCGTGGTGCCCAGCACGGGCGGGGGGGCAACCATGATGACCCCCCCAC